TTGGAGGCTCAACACAGGGGTTGGGTCTGTCTAGGACAGGTGTACCAAAAATGAAAAAAGACCATCCTGATGCATCTTACGTACTGCTTGTGCATTTATTTGCTTCGGACTTGCATGCTGACCGACTTTCGAATACTTAGGGAAAAGAAAAAAATAATATAGCAGTATAAGGGTAAAGAACGTTAATCGCCTGTTTTGAAAAACACAATGTCCAAATAGTGTCGAGACTCTGCCAAATTTTTGAGAAAAAAAAAAAGAAAAAAAAAGGGGAAAAGAAAAAAAAAACTTTTCAAAAATAGTTTATTTGTTTGTCAATAAAATGACAAGAGGAAAAAATCTTGTTTTCAAAAATAGCTTGTTTTTTAAAAAAAAAAAAAGAGAAAAAATTTGTGTTCAAAAAATAATAGTCGTTCTATTTTCCAATGAAAAAAGGAGGGTTGTGTTTTCGAGAAGAGTTCGTTTTATTTTCCCGAACTACGTAAGTTTGATTCTCACCGGATGTGAGATACGTAGGCAACCCCCATCGGGTCCAACTTCTTTTTGCAAAAATGGCCGAAAATAAACAAAATGTTGTTTTTTTATATAAATAGGTGAGGTAATGCAGTTTTTGTCAAAAATAGCCGAATGTTCCCAAAAGGGACGCCGGAAGGCTGATTTTGCGCAAAACAGTCACCTTTGGTCTTTTTCTAATTTTTTGCCCAGTTAACGGGCACAGCCCTAAAATCTTCCTCCGGAGATGCTGAAAGGCCGTATCTGCAAAACTGGCTTTTCAATTTTAGAATTAAAAAAATCAAAAAAGGGGGTCAATTTTTTATTTTGGAATCACATAGAATAAAATTAGGATCGTTTCCCTTAATCGCCTTAATAAATGTGCAGGATGAGCACAATACAAAATGAACCCTTCTCTTTCATAAGCAAGATCCCTTTGGAGTTGCGGCTGTGGTGGAATGATTTAGGTGGAGAGGGGCAAGACGACGTCAAGAAATATTTGGGAGGCCTTCCCGGACTGCTGGAAATTATACCCAGAGGAGACATCATAAGGGCATTAGTCACATGCTGGGACCCGGCGCACAATGTGTTCCACTTTCCAGATTTTGAACTCACCCCGACTTTAGAAGAAATAGCCGGGTATATTGGGAATGCTGAGCTTCCTTTGAGACACAAGTATTTGGTTGGCCCAAGAATCATAGCTGTGCACAGATTTTTGGACTCACTAAAGATAAGCAGAGGGGTACACAATCCGGACTTGGCAAATGGTTATTGTACCTTGTCGTTCATATACAACAGATACGGTCGTACATGAGGTTTCAACAAACCAGAGAATAAAATCTGCAGCAAAGGGAATCGCCTTAAATGGGAAGAGCATAGATGCTTCGCTTTTATGGTGGCTTTCCTGGGGCTCCTGGTGTTCCCAAGAAAAGACGGGAATATTGACATAAAAATAGCAGGGGTTGTTAGCACTTTGCTCACCCAGGCCAAGAGTACACTCGCGCCTATGATAGTAGCTGAGATCTTTCGTGCTCTCACAATCTGCAGAGCCGGGGGGAACTTCTTTGAAGGGTGCAACCTGTTATTGCAAATGTGGATGACCGAACACCTATGCCGTCGTCCCCAGTCCGTAAGCTATGGGTCAATAGAGAAAACTTGTATAGAGGACTTTTATACAAGAATTAAAGGGATCAGCTTGCCAGAAGGAGTCACCGGATGGGTATCTTACTTTCGGTCCCTCACTGCCAGCCAAGTAGAATGGACGCTGGGGTGGTTGCCCGTGGACGAGATTATATACATGCCAGCAACATGGCCTCATTTCCTTCTGATGGGTCTTAGGAGCATCCAGCCTTATGCCCCGTATCGGGTTTTGAGACAGCTCGGGAGGTGCCAGATAGTGCCAAAAGACGAAGATCTCAGTATCCGGGTAGTTGAGATTGGACTGGATGGCCAGTTCCCTGAAGCAACAGTTCGCAAAATTTGGAACGAATGTCAATACTTAACAACAAATACTTGTGTACGGGATCGGTCCAAAGGTGAAATATCGCCAGGATACCTTGCTTGGTATAAAAGAGATATTGAGTTCGAGAGTCCAGCCAAGAGGCCCCATATCCAGGAATTCGTTGAAGCATCGCAGGGACAGTGGGACTGGTTGGCTAAAGAACGCGAGTATAGGGCTACAATAGGCAAACTGGAGAAGCAGGTCATGGATTTGCAATTTGAGAGAAATTTGCAGGTCGCCGTAGATGAGGGCGAAAAGAAGAATCTGATCCAAGAAAATGAGATCCTTAAAGCTCGTATCCAAAAAATGAGAATAGCTGTCAGAAAACCAAAAAGAAGCCGGGCTGACCAAAAACTCATAAATGAATTGAAAGGAAAAGCCCGCGAGAGCCAGATGGACTTGGAGAGGTCTGAAGCTAGCTTGGCAAGGATTCGGGCCAGGTGGGCAAAGGGCGCGAAAGAACGAGAACTTTATATGCAACAGATGAAGAGAGATTATGAAGGAAGCGTCACTATCCTGAAAGGAACAATAGCCACTCTCGAAAACAGGGTATTCAGGCAAGCTAGAGATCACAGAGCAGATAGGAAACACTGTTACGACCTGATGGCACAGATGGAGGAACAAATGCATAAGTTTCAAGACCAACTCCATCATAATTCTCGAGTGTTGGAAACCAGGGATCAACATATAGGACGGCTGCTGCGGGAAAAGAACAAGATTAGAGAAGAAGTCGCAAACATCGCACATTACATTATTGCAAAATGCCGTGTGTGAGAGAACATGACCCGTACCACCTTCTTTGCGGCAGTGATGACATTCGTCCGGCAAATAATGAGCGATCTGGATAGGCTCCAAAGGGATCTCGCACAAAGGCCCGCGGCAAGGCCGAATGACGCCTCGCGGGCTCCAGGAAATTTTAAGGCATTAATGTACTCTTAATCTTTGTTTTGAGTTTGTATTTTCATCATTAAAGTTTGTAAGACAGATTCTCTTCAAGTTTGCTTTGTTTGTAACTTTTTCCAAGTGTTATAATAAGAGGAGTCGTTTTTTGGAAATATGTGGCCATTTATTTTTCATCGTCCAGAACTACGCACGGTCTGATTCATGCGGGGACATGATACGTAGGCAATCCACATAAGATTCGATCACCACTTAAAAGAAAAAAAGAGGGAAAATGGAACTAAATAAATAAAGGAAAGTTTGAGAGGCGTTAAAAAGGGGCACAATCATGAAAGGCCGGAACGACGCACGCAACTGAAGCAAATACATGACAGAAAATGGTTAACTGCCTAGGTGCATCGCATCCCAACGTGCGATTGCATATATGTTAAACTCTAAAAACTAACAAGTTGTTGCTTGTCCAGAAATTTCAAGCAGTTCGTTTCCCTAGAGCGTACTGGCACATTACCATTATCAAACTAGATTAAAGGGACCAATACCAGTGATCATGTCTAGCTCCGATAGAGAAAGAAGCGCCGAAGGGGAAGAAGTAGATGTGTAAGCCATGAAAGATGAAATGTATAAGTTAAAACAACAAATGGCTGAGATGTACCAAGCCTGGACGAGGGGTCAGACACCGCCAGCCTATCCTGCTAACCCTACTTTCCTCCCAATACCCGCCCAATCTCCGAAGCAGCTTGTCTCAAACTTATCCCCACATTTCCAACATCATCAGGGAACCACCTCTCACACACCACCAATTCCAAAGACAACTCCATACCCTCCCCCAATTACCCCTGTCTTTGTGGCACCTGCACCAGCCCCGCTCCACAAGTCTTCCAGTGAGCCCATATTCCAAACGCAGGATAATCAATATTACCCTCCCGAACCCACCTTCAAAGCACCTGAACCGTATCCTTACCATCCTCAACTTGGTATCTCCGCAGAACCTGAAAGACAACTACAGAATCCGGAGCAGGAAGAAATGTTTCGAAAAGTAAAGAGCCTAGAGCAGTCTTTCAGGAATATGCAAGGTTTGGGCGGCCAAGTCAGTGTGGCATACAAGGATTTGTGTTTGTTCCCAGACGTTCAGCTACCAGCAGGGTTCAAAATGCCTATGTTCGATCTGTATGATGGGCATGGTGATCCGGTGGCACATTTGCGAGGATTTTGCAGCAAAATGAGAGGGGCAGGTGGAAAGGATGAGTTATTGATGGCGTACTTCAGCCAAAGCTTGAGCGGGTCTGCATTAGAATAGTATACACGACAGGACCATGGTAGGTGGTACACTTGGGATGACTTGGCACAAGCATTCGCCGGCCACTTCCAGTACAATCTACAAATCATCCCAGATCGTCTGTCATTGATAAAATTGGAGAAAAAAACCGGAGAGAGTTTCAGGGAATACGGTTTCCGTTGGAGAGAACAAGCCACGAGGGTCGACCCTCCAATGAAAGAAGGAGATATGGTTGATTACTTTTTGCAAGCATTGGAACCGACTTATTTTGGTCACTTAGTGACGGCGATTGACAAGTCTTTCAATGAGGTTGTGAAAATGGGCGGCATGATCGAGGAAGGACTTAAGTCCAACAAGATCATGAGTTACTCGGAAATCAAAGCAACCACTCAAGCTATCCAGAGCGGCACCGGGGGTGTGCTCGGGAAGAAGAAGAAAGAAGATGTTGCAACGGTTGAGTCCAGAGCCTGGTTCGGATCCAGAGGCCCCTCACCTTACTACAACCAACCCCGACCCCACCACTCAGATTATTCCCATACTCCATATAACCCTCCACAGCATTACTACCCACCACCCGATCCCCACTTTTCCATCCATCACGCACAAGCCTACGCCCAAACACCGGTTCACGCACAATGGCGTGCGCCGACTCCACAAAATCCATATCCAGCTCCACAAAACACCTACCCACCCCTAAGAGCCTACAGAAATCCCACCGGCTCAGGTTTCCGACCCAACCAAGGCTTCAGGAACGAGAGGACACAGAAATAGAAGACTTTCACTCCATTGGGAGAATCATATACCAGTTTATTCCATAGGCTCAGACAATTGGACATGTTGAATCCAATTGAGGCCAAGTTGCCAAACCCTCCTCCAAGGAACCTCGACCATTCAGTAAGTTGTGAGTACTGTTCAGGGGCCCCCGGGCATGATACGGAGAAGTGTTGGAAACTGAAAACAGCGGTGCAAGAGCTCATTGATACTCACTGGATCGAGGTTCAGGCCCCAGAGGCACCGAACATCAACCAGAATCCGTTACCAGCTCACCATGAGACCCATATGATTGAGTTGATACACAAGGGAGGGGAGCCAAAGAAACCTTCACAGACAGTGATGATGATTCGTTCCAGTGAAAACGATTCAAAATAGAAGGTGACCAGTGGAAAGTCGTCGGTCCAGTTGAAAGGGGTGAATGACAAGCCAGTTGTGGTGGCCGAGAAGGGTTCATCGAGCATTGTTCCAGTGAAACCAGAACGAGCAAAAGTGGTGGTACCGGGGGTTGCAAGTAAATCTGTTGTGGCCGTGAAGGGGGCTCGCATAGAGCCTGTTATTATAAAGCCGGTAACTCAGCTGCCAGTGATCAACAGTAAAACTGTCCCTTGGAGTTATGAACAAGTGGTTGTAACATATAAAGGGAAGGAGGTCAGGGAAGAAGTGTGTGAGGCCCAAGGGCTAACTCGTTCGGGAAGGTGTTTTGCTCCCGCGGAGTTAAGAAAGGCCAACTTAGCAGCGACAAAGAAACCTGTAACCGAGGAAGAACCGGAGGAGTTCCTAAAGAAAATGAAAATGCAGGACTACTCCATTATAGAGCAGCTGAGAAAGACACCAGCCCAAATCTCATTACTTTCGTTGTTGATCCACTCAGATGAGCACCGCCAGGCGCTGATGAAAATATTGAATGAGGCCTATGTCCCTGACAAAATCTCGGTGAATCACTTGGAGAAGATAGCAAATAAAATCTTTGAGGTAAACCGAGTTACTTTCTCAGATGATGAGTTGCCAGTGGAAGGTACAGAACATAACAGGGCCCTTTATCTAACGGTGAAATGCGAAGATTCTGTAGTCACACGAGCTTTGGTTGACAACGGGTCCAGTGCAAATACATGTCTCCTTTCGACGTTGAATAAACTGAAGGTCGGCGATGACAGAATTCGTAAGAAAATATTTTGTGTACGAGGATTCGACGGCGGAGGCAAAGATTCTGTGGGTGACATAATACTAGAATTGACAATAGGGCCCGTGGAGTTCACCATGGAGTTTCAAGTGCTAGATATGGCGGTCTCTTATAACCTTTTATTGGGGCGACCCTGGATCCACGCCGCCAAGGCAGTGCCATCTACATTGCATCAAATGGTTAAATTCGAGTGGGATAGACAGGAGATCGTGGTGCACGGTGAAGATAATATGTGTGCCCTAGGTGATGCCATTGTACCCTTCATCGAAGTGGAAGACAACCAGGGGCCATGGGTATATCAAGTCTCCGACATGGTACTATTGGAAAAAGTCCTAGAGGGGAAAAGCATCCCAGTTCCTGGGGTAACAGCCGCAACTATCATGGCGGTTTCTGAAATGTTAAAAAATGGTTTTATACCGGGTAAGGGTTTGGGTGCTGATCTTCAAGGCATCGTGCAGCCAGTCTCTCTTCCGAAGAATTTGGATACATTCGGTTTGGGGTTTAAGCCTACCGCGGCAGATGTGAAACGAGCCCGCAAAATGAAGAAAAAGGCATGGGTCTTGCCAAAGCCAATCCTGCGTCTGTCCAGATCCTTCGTCAGGCCTGGTATTAGAAAGAAGCTGTTGTCAAAAGTTCCCTAGTCACTGATTGGTGCTGATGGATATTTGGATAAAGGGTTCGAAAGGTTATTTGCTGAGGTTAACATGGTAAAAGTGGGGGAAGGGTCAAGCAAGGTAGATGTGCAGTTCGTCGGACCACAGGCAAAAGTCAATAATTGGAGGGCTACTCCTCTTCCCACTCGGAGGGAGTCTTGGTAGTTGGCTCTGATTTTCTTTCCTGTTTGTCTGGATTATTTCAGGGTTGTAATCCAAAGTTTTATTCTTTCCTTTTTGTTGTGTCAAAGTGTGCAAAACCTTGTTATCCTGTATTTCAATAAAACGAAAGTTTTTGTTTTTTCTCTTTTCATTCCTTATTTTAAATTTTAATGTTGTTTTCTTCTTTTCTTTTCTGTACAGTTCTCTTTTTACTGGTCCTAATGACATGACATGCATAAGGAATCCTCAACCCAGTCTAGAAAATCAATCTGACTCCGAAATGATAGTGCAAGAAGTAGATTATGAGTCAGAATACGATGACGATGAAGCTTTCGAAGAGATTAGTAAAGAACTAAGTCAATTCGAAGGAAAACCCAGGCCCAACCTAAACGATACAGAAGCCATCAATCTAGGGGACGCAGATAACATCAGGGAAACCAAAATAAGCGTCCATATTGAACCAAATATCAGGGAAGAATTAATCAAAACACTTATTGAATTCAAAGACATTTTTGCATGGTCATATGGCAACATGCCGGGTTTAAGCACCGATTTAGTGGTTCACAAATTACCCACTGACCCGGCATTCCCGTCCGTCAAGCAAAAATTGAGGAAATTCAAAACCGATAGGAGTGTGAAGATTAAGGAAGAAATAACCAAACAACTAGATGCAAAGGTTATACAGGTCACTCGATATCCTGATTGGTTGGCTAATGTGGTGCCGGTGCCAAAGAAGGACGGAAAAGTCAGAGTGTGTGTTGACTATCGCAATCTCAACAAAGCAAGCCCAAAGGATAACTTCCCACTACCCAATATCCACATTTTGATCGACAATGTGCAAAACGTGAGATTGGATCTTTTGTGGATTGCTATGCCGGGTATCATCAGATCCTGATGGATGAAGAAGATACAGAGAAGACGGCATTCATCACGCCGTGGGGAACTTATTGCTACCGAGTAATGCCATTTGGTCTGAAGAACGCTAGGGCAACGTACATGCGAGCAGTGACCACTGTATTCCATGATATGATTCACAAGGAGATTGAGGTATATGTGGATGACGTGATCATCAAATCAAAGAAGCAAGCCGACCACGTCAGAGATTTGAGGAAATTCTTTCAGAGGTTTCGCAGGTACGACATTAAACTTAACCCTTCCAAGTGTGCATTTGGTGTTCCGTCCGGGAAGCTGTTGGGATTTATAGTCAGTCGGCGAGGCATTGAGTTGGATCCGTCGAAGATTAAAGCCATCCAAGAATTGCCACCTCCAAGGAATAAGACCGAAGTGATGAGTCTGTTGGGAAGGTTGAATTACATCAGCAGGTTTATTGCTCAGCTCACGTCAACTCGTGAGCCCATCTTCCGATTGCTGAAGAAGGACGGTGCCGTCGAATGGACTGAGGAATGTCAGGAAGCGTTTGACAAGATAAAGGGGTATTTATCAAATCCACCTGTGTTAGTTCCACCTGAACCAGGAAGACCATTGATCCTTTATTTAACGGTTTTGGAAAATTCATTTGGATGCGTACTGGGGCAGCATGACATCACCGGCAGGAAAGAGCAAGCCATCTATTATCTCAGCAAGAAGTTTACGGCTTATGAGGTTAAGTACACTCATCTCGAGAGGACATGTTGCGCCCTGACTTGGGTGGCGCAGAAATTAAAGCACTATCTGTCGTCCTATACTACTTACCTCATTTCACGCTTGGATCCGCTGAAGTATATTTTTCAAAAGCCTATGCCCACAGGGAGATTGGCGAAGTGGCAAATATTACTCACAGAATTTGACATCGTCTATGTGATGAGGACTGCAATGAAAGCCCAAGCACTGGCCGATCATTTGGCTGAGAATCCGGCCGATGAGGAATATGAACCATTGAGGACGTACTTTCCTGATGAAGAGGTGATGCATATTGATGAGCTGGAACTGACCAAAGAACCGGGATGGAAACTTTTCTTTGATGGGTCTGCAAATATGAAAGGAGTTGGAATAGGAGCTGTACTTATTTCTGAAACAGGGCACCACTATCCTGTTACGGCTCAGCTTCATTTCTATTGCACCAACAACATGGCTGAGTATGAAGCATGCATTTTGGGTTTACGGTTGGCTGCGGACATGGATGTCCAGGCCGTCTTGATCTTGGGAGACTCGGACCTCCTGGTACATCAAATTCAAGGAGAATGGGAAACACGGGATTTGAAGCTCATACCGTATCAACAATGTTTGCATGATCTGTGTCAACGGTTTCGATCAGTGGAGTTTAGGCATATCCCAAGAGTCCATAATGAGGTTGCTGATGCCTTGGCTACCTTAGCATCAATGTTGCATCATCCAGACAAAGTTCATCTTGATCCGTTGCATATTCTAGTTCGTGATCAGCATGCTTATTGTATCATGATAGAGGAAGAACTAGACGGCGAACCATGGTTCCACGACGTCAAGGAATACATCAGGACGGGGATATATCCGGTACAGGCTACAGGAGATCAAAAGAGAGCAATTCGACGGTTGGCAAGTGGATTTTTCCTCAGTGGAGGAGTGTTGTATAAAAGAACACCAGATCTCGGACTGTTGAGATGCATAGATGCTAAACAAGCTACGGCAGTCATGACGGAAGTTCATTCCGGAGTTTGCGGACCGCACATGAGCGGATATATATTGCAGAAGAAGATCTTTCGAGCAGGGTATTATTGGCTCACTGTGGAGCGAGATTGTATCGGCTTTGTGCGCAAATGTCATCAATGCCAGATACATGGAGATTTGATTCACTCTCCGCCATCAGAATTACACACGATGTCGACACCATGGCCCTTCGTCGCTTGGGGCATGGATGTCATTGGGCCCATTGATCCAGCAGCATCCAACGGACACAGGTTCATTCTAGTAGCCATTGATTACTTTACCAAATGGGTTGAGGCTAAAACTTTCAAGTCTGTAACCAAGAAGGCAGTGGTTGATTTTGTACATTCCAATATCGTTTGTCGATTTGGAATCCCAAATGTAATCGTCACAGATAATGACGCTAATCTTAACAGCAATTTGATGAAAGAAGTTTGTCAGCAGTTTAAGATTGCACATCGCAATTCCACCCCGTATCGCCCTAAGGCGAATGGAGCAGTTGAGGCAGCCAACAAGAACATAAAGAAAATACTAAGGAAAATGGTAGAAAGTTCCAGGCAATGGCATGAGAAGTTACCATTTGCGTTGTTGGGTTATCGCACTACTGTTCGTACTTCAGTGGGTGCAACTCCTTACTTGTTGGTGTATAGCACCGAAGCAGTGATCCCTGCAGAAGTCGAAATCCCATCTCTTCGAATTATCGCCGAAGCTGAGATTGATGATGATGAGTGGGTCAAAACCCGTTTGGAGCAGTTGAGTTTAATTGATGAAAAAAGATTGGCAGTAGTATGTCATGGCCAATTGTATCAAAAGAGGATGGCAAGAGCGTATAACAAGAAGGTGCGTCCCAGGAAGTTTGAAGTAGGACATCAAGTGTTGAAACGGATCTTTCCACATCAGGCTGAAGCAAGGGGCAAGTTTGCCCCGAATTGGCAAGGACCGTTCATTGTAACCAGAGTATTGTCCAATGGCGCTTTATGTTTAACAGATTTGAGGGAAAATGCATAGATATGGCTATCAATTCTGATGCAGTCAAAAGATATTATGTATGATTTCTTTAGTAAAATCACTGATTGTTTGTACTTGGCATTATCTCGAAGGTTGAAATGACGAAGGCAATTTGTTCTGCTATCCAAACACTTTACCCTTTGTTCACCCTTTTTGAGCCTTATTTATTTTATTTCGTACCCTCTTTTGGAATTAATAGCCAAAAAAAGAAATAAAAGGAAAAGCAAAGAAAAAGAAAAAAGAAAACAGAAAAGGAAAAATAATAATACATGAAAAGAAAGACTATAAAAAACAAGGAATGGGGTGAACTACGTTTGACCTGATTCCTCAAAGAGGATACGTAGGCAGCTTCACGGCTCGGTCATAGGGAGTAAAAACTCGAAAGATCCCCAAGCGAGAAACTGGGGAAGAAGTTATGTTTGAAATGAGAAAGTTGGTTCCAAAAGTTGTATTTCTAACCCGTTGGATTTGGTTTGAACTTTTCGATACCCTTTTCTTTCCAAACCTATCCAAAAACCCATATTAACATCCAAAGAAAGACCTTCCGATCAGTCTTCGAGAGGTGCGAAGTCAAGCAAGTATAGATAATGCATATCAGGGGCAATACTCTGGTCTTAAGCAAGAAGAATGAAAAATGAGAGAGTCTTGTTAGTGAAAACCCGCAAGGGCACTGTAAGGCGATGTAAGTTGAGAGAATTCCAAAAAATGAGAGAGTCTTACTGGTGAAAACCTTCACGGGCACCGTAAGGCAACAAGGAGTTGAGAAAGGGACAAATGAAGTAAGGTTGACGGCAAAAAGATCCGTCGAGGCATCAAGTCGAACGAAGATGAAGATTCAGCGAAAGAGTTGGGTGGGGAAAAACTTTGAGGCATAGAGCAAGGCAATTAGGAAATTGATTGATCGAATAGACTGGGTTGATTAATCCGAAATGCACAACATGATCATTGGGGATAGTTACCCCGTCCAGATAAGTCTTCTTCTTCCTCAAACAATCTTCTAAAAGAAGATATTCTTCTTTATTTTTTCTTCTGAAATCATCGTCTGTCATTTCTTTTGGCTAAGACTTTTCCAATAATAGTTTTCAACAAATGAGAAGGATTTTCAGAGTTTACTGCCAGATTCCAATATTGTGTAGAGCAAAGTGGGGCTAGGATCGGCCAAAGAGAAGGCGATAGGATGTAAGAGGCATCATCGATAA